GGAGGGGACCCCATATAAACAGGACGGGGATGCTCGTCGTACCTTTTAGGGGTTAAAAAAGCGGGTCTGGTACCTCTCAGTGTGTTCAGTCTCAAAAGCTCCCACACCAGGAGCTTTCGCCAAAAAAGTGTCAGTTAACGCGTTGTTTTAGAATTGGTACCTCTTAGTCTTAGAAAAAATTTCAAGCCATTCCTACAAAACATTATCTTTATATCTTTAAGGGGGTTCTTTTCAAAATTTCCGACGAGCACCAGGGACCACGGAGGGGGAGGGGCTGCTAGGGCTACAGCCCTACCACTTTTATTGCTGGGATTTATGTTCTAGGGCTCCAGTTGACATGTAATTAAATGCAAGATAAATGGCGAAACACTGACCTTGACGTTTGTTTGTATTGGCCAGATTTTTTAGCCCTACCACTGTGGCAACCCTGTAAAGGGGTAGGGGTATGGTTAGATAATAAAACGACAGTTATAGTTATAAATTACGAAAGATGTTTGAATAGTTCTGATTTTTCGTCCAGCTCCAAGTCATCCAACGGATGGTTCGGTTACGCCAACGGCATATCAGTTTCCTTGGCACCTGACCCCGTTTCTGGTCATCATATTTGTCGTCATTGTGGTTCTCTTTACGTACTATCTTCGCGTTCCCGACATTGTCGATGCCCTCGTACTCGCGATCAAGGAGAAGAGACGCCAAATGAATGCATCGAAAGCAGACAACCAGAGCCTCAACTTGACAAAGGGGAACTTCTCCACCGAAGGATTCAAAACATCACTTTTCCACTCTTACCAGAGAGAAGTGTTCTACGAGGAGGGCGGGTTAAACTATGCCTTTTTTGAGATGGAGGCGACAAAAGCCATCGAGTTTTCTGTGCACCTCGACGATGAGGAAAATCAAAACTCCGGATCTGAAGAATCTGTAGAAATTTCATGTGAAATTGAGGAAGAAACGTTTGATAAAAAACACGGGCATGACACACTGAGTGAAATGTTTGATACCAGTGGCACTGAAATATTGAGGAAAAGAAACACTGAAGAAAATCTTCCCACCGCCAACACGAGAAGGAATGGCAGAATCTATTTTCACGATTCACCAGCTTCTTATGAAATATAAGACACATCTGCTTAAGACTACAAGCTGCAAAGTCCGAACAGGTGAAAAAAATAAGATTGACAACTCGCAAGGTAATATTTACGAACATTTTCATCGAAAGTACATTTCCGAGAATGACATGACCATAAAACGTTGCACTTTCGTATAAAGCTGTATACTTTCGTGAGATATCGATAGTTTTAAGCCATGAGAAGCCTTTTTTAATTTTACGCAGGTAACAAAACTCGAGGGCTATTAAATAGCTTTTGCGCTGCTTGAATAACGATAGCCTCTTCCAGGCGTTCAGTTAGTTGGGGCGCAGCGAGCTAAATGGCGAGCGCGCTGCGCCCAACAAACTCAACGCCTGGAAGAGGCTAGAATAAAGACCACAATATAGTTTTCTTGCTCTTTTAATAAAATAAACTTATTCCCCTGTAATTCTGAGCACTTGGTCAAATCTTATCTTTCTGTTTTCTTAAATCCTTAATGTGTAACAGCCGATTTGCTGCACTTCATTTGAATGCAGCCACGCAATCTTTCAGTTCTACAGGAAGTCTCATTGTAATTGAGCAATTCTTAACCTCACCGAGATGAAAACTCTTAAATAATTAAGGTCAAAGGTACTTAAGTTGCTGTTATAAGATAACTGCATAATGCAAAAGGCCTCTTCCACTCTCTCTTTTGCAAGTGAAAATAAATCTATTTCAAGGCCAGATCAGAGGCTCAATTCTAAACTGAGTCGGAGAAACAGTTACCCTTTGTGACAAATTTTCGTTGTAGAATAGCACGAGTAATCAAGAATCCTTCGAGATGTCACATGACACATGTCACATGATCATGACGTGTCATCTGCATAGCAACTAAGGAAGAAAAAGCACGCACTCCCTTAGTTCAGTTCGGAGTTGAAATTGTAGCTTTTTCCACGACTGATTGTGTTTAACAAACACAGGCATAACCACCAACATCACCAAATTATGCAAGAGATCAAAGTTTAAAAAAGAAATTCAAACGATCAGTGCTTTTAGCTTCTCAAGTAAATTCTACTCAACTACTAAAAGCAGCCTTTAATTGGTTGCAGAGCCTGTGATTTTCTGTTTTGATCATCCAAATCAAAGATTACGCTTTTCGAGTCGTTCGAAATGACGACAAAATCGATCCTAAATAAAATTACAATTATGTACAGCAAAAGAAAGCGAGTAGAAAATCACTCTAGCAATCACTAATTTGGGAGTATTGAGTCTTCTTCGTCGTTTTCTTCAAAGCACTAGATGACAACATTTCGTTCCTGGCGTGGAAAAACCATCACGCAACCACGGAAGTCGCGCCAGTGCAAAACGAATCAACAATCGTGCACAACATTTTACTTTGAAGTCAATTCCAACAGTGTTTCACCGCGAAGGCTTTATGTATGTCAGTATGTAGGACTACTGAGGCTCCATCAGCTTAGATGTGGAACAAAGCTTTCATGTCGAAGTCCGCTCACCAAAAACGTCCACTGCGAAACTCAGTTACTGTCCAAAGTTGAAGGTATTCGGCACAGTCATGTTAGTGAACATGTATCCTCCTTGTTGTTCGATTCTCTTGGATTCTGTTTGAAAATAAACAAGAACATTGTAAATACTCTTCGTAGAATAATTACGATGCAGCTTTGTTTGGGATCCTTCTCCCCCACAAGTCAGGGAGGACGACGGGCAAGAAAGCTACCTATGTAGACCTATTACAATTACTCTTTGAATTGTTTCGCTTCGTCTGTTTTCCTTTGGTACTTATCATTTCGTTTGGTTAAGTTCTGTTATTTTTTTTCTGTGGCAACTATCCTAGTAGTTTTTAAGCTCCTATTGTTTAATCTCACTTAAAAAAGAACGCTTTTCGCACTTTTATTATGAATCTTGGTTACGAGCAATATTCTTTCGTATTCTTACCTAACAAAGCTATCCTCTGCTCGGCCTGGTGAAACACTTCCTGTAATGACTTAGCCTGCTCGCTTGTCAACACACTTGTCAGAGCCGAGTACCAATCTGGGTCACTGGTCTGCAGTGCTAAAATAAAATACAAACAACAGTTACACGTAAATGGCATGAAGAGGGACGCAAGACCTTAGAGGAGTCATGGACCATTCCTTGAAAACTGAATTAGACGCCTTCCTTGTTGTGCTTAGTCCCTTCAGATAAAGTAAGTCCAAGTTTGTTTCCGTCTCTTTACTATGTTGTTTCTCAATGTATAAAGCTACTGATTTTCGGCGTTTTGTTCATATTCATCGTTCATAGCTATTGTTGCTATTGTTGCTATACCTCCCAACTCAAATACATTTTCTGATTGGAGGAGAACGTGTCACTCGTCGTGGGTCAAAACTAACTAACTCGCCAAGGAAACAACAACGTGAACTTTCGACTCGCATGTAATCAGGTCGAGCTCCATGAAACCGCGGCACATTTGTGTGCCAGTCAACGTCAAGCAAACGATTTTTTCGCAGTTTTTGTTTTCTATTTTTGAGTTGGTAGGTATAACAAAACACCTAATGGCTGGTCCGGCGGAAACAGTGAGTTTCGTTCCCCTTCGACCTCAATGTTCCCCTCGGCTTCGCCTCAGGGAAAGTTGAGGGTCTCGGGGAAACAGAACTCACTGTTTCCCTGGGAGCCACTCATTAAGTGCGCATTGTTATTTTGTACTTCACTTCGAATCATACGAAGGTCCTGGGATGGTTTTTAAACCATTTCAAATTCTGAAGCCTTTATGACCGGGACCTTAACGTAATCCTACAAACAACGTTCTGAAAAGTAACAGTAACCTTGCATCGAGGTCCTAAAGGCGATGTACTCATCGGTTTCTTCATTGTCTACAGATGTGGTGAAGTTTTCAAGAGCCGTTTCTTCATCTTCCACCTCTTCCTCATCATCTAAATGATCGGCAGCCTGTGCGCAAAAAAAGTTTTATATCCGACGAAGAAATTCATATCATCACACTAAAAAGATTATCACTATTAAGATTTTTGTTATTTAGGGTTGGCCACAATGTTACCTGTAGAGAGACTTTAATTTATGTCTCTTGTACCTGTCTATGACTGTAATGAGTTAACTTCGTTAAAAATAGTCTTAATACTCAAGGTCAAGTCTGCATGCCAGCCAAGTGACCCATCAGGCCGGAGCTTATCCCGGTTTCTCTAGCATGAAGTGACTAGGAGTATTGACTCCTCCCTGGATGGGATGCCAGTCCATCGCAGGGTTACCCCCAGGGTTACCCCCGGCATTAAATTCGCCGGTACTCATTTATACACCTGAGTGGAGAAGAAGCACTGCAAGAGTATCGTATCTTGTCCAAGAACCCTGGGCCTTGTCCGCGGCCAGGGCTCGAACCCGGACCGCTCGATCCAGAGTAGAAAGCACTAACCACGAGGCCACCGCGCCTCCCTATATAGTCTCACTTTCCTTCTTATCAAAAGAAGACTCGGCTGATTTCCACAGACTTCCAGAATACTTTGTGGTTTGTGGTAACATATCTGCTTACCTTTTGCGCAAGACCTTCAATATATTGAACATCGTCCTCATTAATTTCGTCCTCGTCGCTAGCCAGCTCATCTACGAAATCAGGAAGTACCGATGAAAACCATTATAATGCACACAACACCAGTTTGGCTTGCAGTTACGTGTACACGTAAAGCAAGAAAAAAAAAATTGGAGCTCAGGTACCTTCATCCGATTCCCCCTCCTCGTCTTCATTTTGATCGTCATCATCACCACGGTCTGAAAAAAATTAATCAATTATACATTAACAACTGAATGATCTATTCTGTCTGTCCGTCCGTCCGTCCGTCCGTCCGTCCATCCGTCCATCTATCCCCTGGTCCGTCTGTCTGCCCGTCCGTCCAACCTTCCATCCGGCGTCCGCACGTCCATCCGCCCGTCCGTCCTGAAGTCAGTCGATCCTTGTGTCTATCCGTCCGTCTGTCTGTCTTTCAATATGCCTTTCAGAATCTCAATACTCGATCAATAGGAAATGCCTGTAGACCAGTAAGATGTACTTACTTTCATACGTCCTTTTGAGTCCTGAGAAAAGAACTAACAAGGCCGGGAGAATCTGGGGCGAGCACTGCAGGAGAGCCTGTGGCCTCATCTCTTTTGGCAGATCCATGAGTGCGCAGAATCCCAACACAAACATCTTACGATCATGAATACTATAACAAACAGCAAGAAGAATTAACGAAAGAGGACACTATAACCTGACAAACAAAACATTGAAGACTGGCCAAAGGGTACATTGTAGTCAGAAAACCCCAGCTGGCGGAAGGATTTATGAGTAGCTACTAACAGTTACCTTAGCCAAGGAGGTAAACTCTCAGCTAATGGGTTACAAACAGAGCTAACCGTTTCGCTAACCGTTTCGCCCGATCTCAAAGTCATATCGCCCGGAAAAAGAGTCGCTTCGCCCGGACCAAAATCTAGTTCGCCCGAAGTTTTATTAACGCAAATTAGGGAGTAGTTGGCGAACATATGTGTTTCATTTACTACATTTCCTTCCCCAATATACCTGCCGAGATGATCTTTGATTAACAACTTACAACAACTAAACAACATACATACAATACCAACATACAACATAAAATCGGAGAACGGCATACGTAAATCGGACTGCACAAAGCTAAATGAAATGTATCACACAAATTACTTCAGATGATGTGGAATGGTAAGAATTCATTCCAAAAACTAGATCCGTGTGGTGGCAAAGTTTTCACACAATAAAGTAAAGAAGGTTGAGGTGGAACGATCACTGATTTCAGCACAATGGCTACAATTATCGTTTTGTTTTCAAAGTGCGATACAGTGAAAACTAAGTTAACAAAGGTAGCGGTTTCTCAGTGATATCTTCTCGACTTACCCAAAGAAGCAGTCATGGTCATTGACCCAGCGACTAAAGAACTGTGCTGTGACTGTTTCATTCGTGTTTGGAAACTGAAGTTTGTCCAGTACGCTTAACAGAAGAGGAGTATTGTATATTAATCCAGCTATAGCCTGCAATCACAAAATACCAAAAAAAAAAATTTACATGTATGTTTAAACTCTACATGGTTACTGTCCACAATCTGTCAACGTTTTCTTAGTAAGTCTTTTCTAAGGTTCATATGATGTTTTTATTCTTTTAAAAAAAGTTTTTACAGTCGGTGTGTTGTATTCACATCTACATCTTTGAAACTTTTACTCTACTGACAACCACGCATAAGTGAAGGAGGCTTAGTGTCCAATTATTGTATCCAGTTCATGTCTTTGAGTTGAGGGTAGATAAGGGTGACCATTGTACTTGTAGAATGCCCTTGTGTGAGGCACATTCTTCTCACAAGGTTACTCTCTTCCCTTGTGTACAAAAGATAAATAAATAACAATAATAAATCGATTGGAATTGGCAGTGGCGCATCCCATGGAGACGCTCTTCAACGATGTTTCAATGAGTTTGGAGTGTTGGTTTTGTGAAGGGAGGATAACCAGACAACCTGGATAAAAACACTGGTGAGAACCAGGGACTGGAATCAAACCCAGGCAACATCGGTGGGAGGTGAGTACTCTCACCAAAGTGTCATCTCTACTCCCTTAAATAGATAACGTTAGATTGCTTGGGGGGAAGGGAGTAAATATTGCTCAGGGGAGCTGCCATGGGCGTATTAGTATCCCATTCAGGGGGTAAAGGAACAGTCAAAGACACTATTCTGCACAAAGTTCAGTTGCATTATTAAGCTACATGTATTACATATTAAGTATCATTATGCTCAATCAAATTAAAGTTTGTACGTTTGTTGTATTCTCCCTTACCACTTGTAAACACATTGTTCGTAATTCACTCTCCTTCACCTCCCTCGTCAATCTTTCCAGTGCAGCTTCCACATAAAAAGGAAGCCACTACAAGGTAAATAAATAAATAAACAACCAAACAAATAAATAATTAAATAAAGAAATACACATGAAAAAATTGTGTTCATCAGAGTAAGGGAGACACATCAAGTCTCCTTAAAGCCTTTGCCACACCCAAAGTGACCAATAATACTGTGCTAGATTCTAAACAAGTACATGTGCAGCGCACAGCCACACGAACATTACATTTACCATGACCCAGACAGTACAGTACCTGATCCATATGCCCACGGCACTGAAGAATAGTCACTTCCAACAGCTTTGCTGCATTACACTGCTGATCCTCCTGTGCAGAGGAATCTGTCATCATCTTGGAAAGGAACATAAGAAATCAAAAGTCAAACTTGTTGCAAGGTGAAAGAAATTCAACCAGGATGCACAAAAAATCTGGATTAGATCCTTAGTGGCCACCCAGGGTGTCTTTTACTACTGTTTTTTTTTTTTGGAGGATCCAAAGCTGGAGCTGAATCAAATTTTAGATATTTCCATGAGAAAAAAAGACCTACATGTATGCTCTCTGAATTTTTATATATACACCTTTCATTATCCAAAATTGTACCACCTGAAGAATCAAGAATGGCCTTCAGGTGATTATCACAATGCTCATGTAAACTGAAGGAGTCCTTCTTTTACTTCTAATACAGAACTATAAACAACAAATACCCTGCGATGTACATGAACACATTTATGTAGCCTTTTTTGGTGAGTATAGTATTTTTTCAGCAATACCAAACCAAACAACAAAATGTGGTACACAATTAAGTATTACACTTGGCACACATTCAAATGTAATTACCTTTTTACACATGTTATATATTAGTTCCAGGTTCTTAGGATTTGCTAAGAAGGCAGGTGTGTCCACAGTGATGTAATTGTGCAGACATGGCATCATTTCTGTAGCAGAACAAAAATAGTTTAAATAATAGAGATGAGCTGATGTCACATAAAGCACAGGTTTTACCTTGAAATAAATACATTGTATTTTTCATATATCCATTCAGGGAGGTACATGTACATGTTGGTAACAAGTGTGTCAAGCCAAGTGTCCCATACTGATAGAGCTTATGTCAGTAACAACTAGGGGTATTAACTTTGCACACTGCCCAGGATGAGATGTGCAGGTAGCACAGACTCAGAGATATGCTAGATTCTAGCTGCTAGTGTCATTCACAGGTACTGTTTTATTCAAAGGGCTTGAAAAAAGTGCCACCCGGTCATCCCGGACAAGCAGATTTTCCCACTGAGCAAGTAACTTTTCATTCTCTCTTGCCCTATGAGCAAGGACCCATGCAACCCGTCTGCCTACTAAATAACAAAGAAAAGTGAACTAGGACTTGCCCAGGGCAAACAAAATTTGGGGGCTGCTTGTCCGAAGGCAAGCTTGAATTCAAGTTTGCTTCGAGTCCTGATTGGCCTGGGTGGAAAGGGGCACTGTTAGAATAAAGTGCCTTGCCCAGTGAGGACCTCAACTTACTGAACCTAGCTTAATCTTAATTAGGCTTAATCTGGACCACTTGATCCAAGCATCCAGTATGTAATAATTCTCTCTCAAGAAGTTAAGAGTGTAAAGAGAAATTTTTCTACTAAGTTTACTTCAAATATGCCTCCTCGGCATTATTGTACTAAAAAACTGTCTAAAGCTGTTTTGTCTATATTATTCCAAGATAAGTCTCATGGCAGAAAAAACATACTGTACCTGCAAAATAGTCAAACGCGTCTCTCTGGAAAGCCTCATACAGCATGTAGTACACTGTCCACATGGACTGTGAGATCTCAAAACATGTGCAGGTACAGATTATGGACAAAATGTCTTCATAAAACTCTGAAAAAAATAAATAGTTACGTGAAAATATTACTGTGCACTGACCATTTCATTACAAAGTATGACAATGTTCAAAATTTCTTTTTACTCTGTGAATTACAAATGTTATAGATAGAGATGACAATAGCAAGCAACATCTTCAACTAAGGAAGTACCAAACTCTCAAAACTATGTATTATTAAAGAAATAATATGGTCCACTTATTTTCCATAGTCAAGTTGAATCCAAAAATAATTAGGTTAATAATAAGCTCTTTTTGACCTGGGCCCTGTTTCTCGAAAGCCCCGGAAACTTTTCAGGCCTGGAAAGCCATAGTAAAATCTCGAACCCTACGATTACAGAGCTGTTTTATTCACATTTTCTTAACATCAACATAGGTTTCCTTCATACAAGAAGTTTCAGGGCTATACACTTCTCCGTTTTTAGATACGGATGAACTAAGAATGGCTTTATGGGCCCGAAAAGTTTCCGGGGCTTTCAAGAAACGGGCCCCTGGACATTGATACATCTTCCACAAATGTTTTACTTTTGTTCTGGAATACACAAAATGTATTTGTACAAAGTTACACATATTCCCTACCCATCACAGAGAGCTCCAGCACTTTTGCTATTAAAGATATCACCACATGCTCCAGCTGATGCACAATCTAGAAAGCAACAACAACAAAAAAAAAACTTGTACATTACAACTAGAAAACAAAGGTCAAGTAATTATTGTTTCCCAAATTTGCTAGGGGATGTATGTATATCTAGTTTACATCAGCTAATCAACTTCAAGCCTAGCAACAATTATGTGTTCCCCTTGTTCACCAATGAACAGCTCAAATGGGGTTAGGGCCATGGGCCATGCCGAAGGACCTAGTCAATGGATCCTTATACACAAAGATCACTCCAACACTAACCAGTCAATTTCAATTACAGCATACATGTACCTCTTTAGATCCTTCCATGACATTCAACATTGTCTCTAATGTGTTCAGGATTCCCATGGCAGTGACTGCTTTCTCGTCACTGTCTTCACCATCCAATAGCTGAACAAAGGTACCTGCCTGTATATTAAATAGATTAGCCATCATTACAAATTTACAAATTTCGTTTGTACAACAAGAGTGGACCTGAGGAACATATTTTGAGCTGTACTTTTATGGCGGAAATTCTTAGATGGGCATAATTTTGGGACATCTTCCACGGACTCTGCCAGGGTTCCAGTCACATATAAAACTGTTTTTACCTTTACTACAGCTTACTACAGTGCAAACCTTACCATTACAACTTAATGCTGTTAGTTAAAGAAAAATGTGACAATATTGTTTGCAGGCATAACCCACATACACTTGTACACAAAACAACTAACATCAAAAGGAAGGAAGAACGGATGGGCAGGTCAGTCATCCTAGACTGCCCGCCTTGCAATGTCACATGACTGCTACACCCTTAAGAACAAACTCAAACTCCAGTAGTGACTTACAGCTCAGGCAGTAATAATCACACTGCTAACAAACAACTGTCAATTATTCCTAACCTATAAATTGACTCACCAAATCTCTGGCAATATCTACAGCAATGCTTGCCACTTGTTCTTGATCCCCGTATGTGGAGATGAGTTTCTGCATCACCCCTGTTAGATCATCATTCTCTGTTTCACGAATCACTTTCAACAGTTCTGGAAAGTGTGAAGAAAACATAGAAGTGTTATCAAGATGAACTACGTGTATATCACAAGTGTGGGACTAAAGGGAAAATGGGAATCGAAGAGTCTGAAGCTATGGCCTGCTGCACAACCAGTGAGATGATTAAATCTGTCACATCTTCTGGCCAGAGATATCTCAAATATGGATGTTTACAGGAAAACTGGTTGCCAGAGTGTTGTCATGGTAATCTAAAGCAGATAAATCCAATGGCTGGACCAGATACTTAAAGTGGACCAGGCCAAAAACCACCTGGTACTGAGCTGTCTTTGCTAAGCTTAGTGAGAAACTCACATGGAGCAAGGAAGAAAATGCTACACAAAAATAGGGATAAATGGAGAGGGTGTTTTTTTTGCCTTACGTCCGATACGTTCTGAGATAATTGACATGAAAGACTGAAATGATACGCCAAGAATAGCCAAAGTTATTAGACTTAGATAGTGCAAGACACAATCATACTGCATGAAAATAACATAAGATAGTCTGGCATTTCATATACATTCTAATCCAACAACACACATGGTGGAGATGTACTTATACAAACCCCACCAATTTTAAAGACAAATGAAATTTCACATAGTTTAGACAAAAAAAGAATAACTTACGCAAGATGATTGGTCGTACATGTGGTTCAATATACTTTTTAGCTGCAAAGGTTAAAGAATGGGAAAATTGGCAATATTTAATTACATGTATTGTAGATCTCTACTACAGCATGTGCAATGAAGATCTTTTAAAACAAAAAATCAATCTTTTCTGTTCTCAACAACCCAAAATAACCTTTTCCACATCATGTGAAGAATGGCTATCATCACTGTCCATACATGTATGACTTGTCCCTCAAAGTCTTTCATGTGAACTGTTCATGGACCAAATGTTGTGTTTTGTTGCATTTTGTTTCGTTGTTGTGTTGTGTAATGTTGTGTTGTGTCGTGATTTGTGTTGTGTTGTGTTTTGTTCTGTTTTCTGTTTTCTGTTTCCACAGCTGACAATTCATTTAGATTGCATTCTCGAAACAACTTGATCACTGGCAACTTCCAGATGTACTTTCACAACTTCTCTCATTTTCAAAGGGCAAACCCTGTGTCTCCCTCCTTGACTATGGCCATACCAAACAACCAAAATTCCCTGACTTACATCCTTCTTGCTTTTCTATGAGAAACTGCAAAGCAATGGCTGCCTCAACTATGACAGGAGGATCAGTGTCTTCAGTTAAACAAATACGGGCAGAGTTCACAGCTGTCGCAAGGTTTCTTTCCTCTTTGAAAGTTATGTCACCAAAACTGTGCAATACCCAACATGCCTAAAGAACAGTGGAACAAAAATACACCATTAGAGGTTCTACATAGTTAAACTGGGTGAACTGAAGAAACGCCATGTAACTACCAACCTGTCAGTAGAGTGACTGTCACAGTCCAAAAAGAAAGCATACTCATGGAAAACTAAAGAAAAACTTACATGTATTTCTTGCAACACCAAAAATAGACACTACAATTCTACATACCCTGGCTCGGAGATATCCAAGGGAACTTTTAAACTCAGGATAAACATGTTGGACTAACATATTTTCTAGCTGCACCTTGTACACTTTACGCTGAAAAACAATCAAGTAGAGTACAGTTAAAAATAACTGGAAAAACATGGACAGGAACACGAAGTTTACACATGCAAGACCAGTATCAGAATTAATAACATAATATTACCTTTAATAACACATCAGCTAATGTTCCAATCATATGAAGAGCACCATCCTTTTGACGAGGGTCCCTCTGCTCTGCTGGAAGGTTAAGAACATGTACGCAGAACACCATGGTAGGATCAAGGACCTGTTTTCGTTTTGAAACAGCAGTGTGGAGAAGAGTTGCAGCAGCAGTTACAGGTGAAACAAAGTCTTCAAAGATATCTGTGAAAACAAGGTAATGTCACACATCATTTAAGAGTGCAAATTCAAACATACAGAGATCTGGACAATTACTGCTCTGTGTATTTCCTTACTTTAGCACCTTAGCTGCTTACTTAAAATTTTGGATTTAAGGGAGCATCTAATCAAGATAGAAAGGGACACTTGATTGAGAATGGCACAGTTGGTCAAGGAAGAGACCACTAATAGTACAAATTTTAGACTCAAAGGACAGTCATGACCCTCACAAAAACCAAGTCCTTTTGCTATCAGTAGAAATTATATTTTCTTCCTCACCGTATTTAACTCTTATAAACTCATAAGGATCTTCTTGCCAAAGTTCATCATCTTCCTCAGTGTAACACATCAAAGGAAAAACAACTTCCTGGATGATTGCCTGTTGGAAGGAAATTTTTCATTCAATCCTATGTTGCATATGATTACAAAGTACATTTTTTGACTCTTTACATGAATGGCAGGCAGTAAAACTGAACATAGGAATCTAGAAATACATGTGTGTTTTGAGCCTAGCATCTCCAGGAAATACAAACAAATAACAGTTCTAGAGGTTGTTGCAAGTACAAATGGAAACAACATCTAATTACCTGTATGTGAGGCCTCATTATTTTCCAGTGAAGTGAATTTGAAATCCTGAAAATAAAGTACATGTACTCGTAAAATATTTTCTGCATAAAAATAATACTCTTTTAACAGTACCTCACAAAATGGAACAGCAAAGTGCCTCACCTAACCATCCATCAATGCTCAAAACTTCATCTACAATTTTCAGGTACAAATTACCTACTGTCAACCTTCTGTAACCTCGCACACACCCACCCACCCCCGCCACCTTGAGTAAGTGTTTGCTTGCTGTTTACTTGCTGTCAAGTGTCAGTCTTTGGGAGGTATCCATAAATGGAGATTTGACTTTAATTGACTGTCCGTTGAAAAGTTGTCACAAAATAATGCCTGGTGCAAACATGTTTTAGATAGTACATGTACATGTTTACTCTTGCACAGTGCNTTCTGCATAAAAATAATACTCTTTTAACAGTACCTCACAAAATGGAACAGCAAAGTGCCTCACCTAACCCTCCATCAATGCTCAAAACTTCATCTACAATTTTCAGGTACAAATTACCTACTGTCAACCTTCTGTAACCCCTCACACACCCACCCACCCCCACCACCTTGAGTAAGTGTTGGCTTGCTGTTTACTTGCTGTCAAGTGTCAGTCTTTGGGAGGTAAACGTAAATGGAGATTTGACTGTCCGTTGAAAAGCTGTCACAAAATAATGCCTGGTGCAAACATGTTTTAGATAGTACATGTACATGTTTACTCTTGCATAGTGCACTATGCTTCATTTTAAAACAACCTTTTCTACCAGTAAGCTTGGTGCCTAAACACACTTCTTAAAAGCAGATCACGAGATAGCATAATTGACTTATACATGCTTGTACCAACCCATTTTTCAAGTAGTTTACTGTCTGCTGAATCACACGTGGAGCCACAAACACTTTCCGTCTGTACTGATCCAATACTTTCAGGAGAATCTGTGTCACACTGGCTACAAATTCAAGACAAGCTGTTGCTTAGTTTCAAGAAGAATCATCCCTGAAAAATTTTCCACTCTAATTGGTTCCCCATTTACCCTGTTGTCATGTGACTGGCACGTGACCATGTGGGTGTCCAATTACAGCTACAATTGTATTCAAGTGCTTTTAACATTTTGTCATCAGATACCTGTAACTGGACACAGTATGCTGTTTGTGTGTCATTTACGTGCATGCTAATGGATTCTGTCTGTCTGTTTCTCTGCTGTGGTAAAATCAGTGGAATATACTAGAACTCACTTTTTCCCTCAAAAGAGGCAGGTCTCAAAGACTTCTAAACTCTAGATTCTCATATTATGATATAATTAATATTATTAGTAACATGACATAGTGTCATTAAAGTGAGAATACATGTAGTAATTAATGCACTTATAGTTTCAGATTGGCCTTGCACAGTTTGCATGCTCACTCACCTCACTACTATCTGAATTGTACAAAGTTGTGTACTTCACTCAGTACAGTTACTATTAATACTACAACTTGCAATTACAGACAACAGTGTACCTTCACTACATGTACATGTATAACAACAGTTTGTAACATACATAGTTGCAACACTGTCAGAGTTATAACTGACTTACCTGCAAAACTTTTGCAATAGTACTCAGAAAACTGCTCGTATTCTTTAGTTATAGAACCAGGGGTACCATATCTGGAATTGCAAAAGGCAAATTAATATTTGATCACCATTTGCAGCATGATTGGGCTAGTGAATGTTTCAGCCTTGTACCCAAGTATTGTTTGGGATGTGAAGCATATAAGCATCTGGGAGAATTGAAGGGCAAGTATAAAAAATCAGGGCTGTGCTCTAGAAGTGCCCAGGTGCCACAGGCAAGTAACTTTTGCCTCTGGGTGACTGAAAATACTTACTTTTTTCATATAAGCTTAATTGCTGGGCACTCAGGATTTCATAGTTAGGAACCTTTGGGCTCCTTGAAATTTTTCTTAGACCACAACCTTGAAAATGTAAGGGTAAAGGAAAGACTCTGTAAATATGTTGTCCCTTGCACCTTAGAAAAATCTCAAGAGTCTAGAAAAAAATATCAGCAATTGGGAGAGGGGCAATTTAAATGTTTCCTGCACAAATGAAGTATGGTAACTAGTCTTAACTGTTTCGGCTCTATAGCCTTATGTGCTCAAGGGTATAAAGAAGATTGAGTGAGCACGTTGATCACAACATTGGTATACTATTTTAGATTCATGTTATTGGTTGCCAAGGGTTTTTTGCCAATCTTATGGTCCTTTATATACTGTGTAATAGCAACATGTATGCAGAATTAAACTGAATTTTTTCCAGCTTTAACCTCTCAAACAACCGGCACAGAATATGTAAAGCCCATTTCTTTGCTTTCCACCAAGGAAGCTTAGCTAACTCTTCCTCATCACCTTCCAGTGCACACTGAAGATAGAATACAAGACAATGACACTATTAGAGATGCCTTTTGCTTGAGGATGAAATGTTAAAATATTTTGTCAAACAAGCCTCCAGTACACAGTACATGTTTCTTGTGAGACGCTTTCAAAAAACTGTTAAGTTTAAAGGCTAGATAGATCTAAAAGCCTACATTGAATTGGACACGTACATGTTACGGTTTTTGTCTCAGTCTGCTTCAATTTTTTTTCAAACCAGTATAATTAATTTTCTGTCAAAGTAAAAAGTCTGGGACCAATAACTTATCAGACCAACAAATATGGGAAAATTTACTTTGCTTGCTTGTGTCCTAGTGGAGACTAAAGAGGACTACGAAGTCAGAGACTGGGCATTTGAATCTTAGTGAGTGCAAAATAATCAAAAAATATATCGTAGTATGGCGGTAGTATACTAACGGTACATGTTGGGGGAAAGGGTTATATGGGATATTTGCAGGGGTAGAGTAAGGTTCAAGACTGAGGGAGGGTGGGTGGTACAAATGTATGCATGTTATTCTCTTTAAGAACCTCCAAAAGTGAAAAATAAGCTATTTACTTTAAAAAGTAGATATAAAAAATACAACATACAAAAAATGTTCTAGATACATGTACAAGTACTCTATTGCATCACACACTAAACAAGATATAATGTATAAAGTGCTGCAGATGTCAACCTAAAAGGTGCAAGTATTTCTATGTGAAAATACTATTGTCTAGTTTAAAACAAAATTCTGACCTGGGGTACTTCTCTGTTAACCACAGATTGAAACACTTGCATCCACTTTCCAAATGTATCACATGTGATTAATTCCATGGGAAGGACATACTGATGGAAAAAAAAAGTCAACTATTACATTTGAGACATCTTTACCAACTGAACATTCAAAATGAACCGTTTTATTGGTTATCACTAACCTGAATAAGTGCAAAGAAAATCTTCAGGATTTGCTTTTGGATTTCTACAGACATTTCTGAAGAATCCTCCATCACAGATGTGAACCTTTGGTATAGCTGCGGCAGTAGAACTTGCATAATATTGTGAAGGACTTCACGCTCCTCAGGCTTTTTGAACCTAAGAGAATTTACATAAATTAAAAAGAAAAACTCTGTTCTACAGAAAACTAGGTGCATTGAAAATGTTTGGGCAATCAATTGAAATTAAGTGTTTAGGTAATCAGGTTAATCTGCTGATGTTGTTTGTCATAATAACTAACAAGCACAAGTGCCATTCTGGGGAATACTGACCCAAGGCTGGAACAGTATGGACCAAGCACAGCTAGGTCCGAACAAAAATGACTGAGGACCAAAATACCCCAGTATGGAGCAAGCCACTACAATAACTATTAAATGTAACCCTCTTTAAATAAAGTTTGTTTGATTGATTAATGGGCGACAAAAGTAGTTGAGACACTTTTAGAAAATGATGCTTTTGATATTTAACCTGTTGTTCTTTTTTATTTGCACATAGCATTAAATCTTTGATACCCCCAGCCCCCCAATTCAATGTTGTGTACGCGCTGTGGTCTGCGCAGTCTAAGAAATAGAAAAATCAGCATTGTTTGGGGGGGGAAGGGGGAGGAAACGTGTCCAAGACACTCAAAAAGCAAATTTTACTTCCAAGTGTCTCGACACTTTTGTCGTTCATCATAGGTTACTAACTTTTTTATTACATGGCACTTTGAAAATGAAGACTACATGGCTTGTGACTGTTTCCATGGAAATAGTCTGCATGGCAAAATCCCAACCAAGAAAGGACCAATCAGAACACTTGGATTTACCTCAAGACTACCTTGCCATCTAATAAATTATGATATTTACCACAGAACAGAGGCATAATCATCTTGGTAAGCAATATTCAACTTACTCGTATTTCTTGACAACCTGGTACAGAGTGAGCAATGCACCCATCCAGGTCCCTTGACTGTTCTCGGCCAGAAATCCATTGACTTTGTCAATCACTCCAGGCCACTTATCAGGAAAGTCAAACCGCAGGATCTGGCTAACACACACTGTGAGCTGGATTCTAGAATTCAAATGCGATAAGATCACTCAAACTTTACAAATTCTTGCACAAAGCACATATACAGTTGTATAATATGCCAGACATAACTACATGTAGTTGATGACATCAATAATCAATGACATCAATAATATTGATGATTAATCAGTGGTCAATCAGTGAGTAATCAGCTGATCACTCATTGAGTACTGCCAATAGTCAATGAGTAATCGATGAGTAATCAATGCTCCACAAAATTTTTAGTCATTGATGTCACCGATTAGTCATCAGGGGTCTTCCAATGGCATAAAATTCACCAAAAATGCAACAAGTTACACTTTATTTTATTTAATAATATTAATATCAACAACATGATTTCCTGCCAATGATACTGTTGATGTGCTGGACTCCTCATCACAGCCTCACTGTCTTCTGTTGTCGATCAAACTTCTGCCATTCTTGAATCAAGTTTATTCAGTTTAGCAAATTCTTATATTACAGAGGCAGTAAAATTAATGACTAGTCAATGGATAATCAATGAATAATCAATGAGTAATCAATGGATCAATGGGTAATCAATGCTCCAAAATTTTTACTCACTGAGTATTGACAACAGTCCATGAATAATCAGCTGATTACTCATTGATTAATCATTCATGTCATTGATTAGTTATGTCTGGAATATGTTCATGAAAGTCAAATAACTTACAGCTAACACCTCAAGTCTATGACCAAGAGTATTTAGTCCATACCTTATTAGCTCAGGAGCATGGATAACTGCTTCTACAATATTTTCCCTGATGGTCACTTTGTCTTGCTCAGCAATAACAAATGGAGCAACACCGTCAATTAATTCTGAAGGGTCTCTGTCCTTCCAATACTGAGCAATCATATTCTTAAGGTAAATTCCACCTATAAGTGCAATCATTTAAACCAAATGATTAGTCTGGGTAAAAGCCTAGCGTGCGTTCCCTTGGGTTGATCTGGATCAGGATCAGTGATCCACGATCACTAGGATGATTGTGCATCAAAGAAGCAAATGAATCCATGACCAGAGTTGATTCACTGGTTCCTTTGATGTACCATGATTGAGTGATCTTGGATCACTGATCCTGCTCCAGATCACCCCAAAGGAACGTACCCCTGGTGTCTGATCAGGACAGTACTCAGCAGACTGGTGCAAACGTTTTAATACCACAAATCAACTTGCAGTATTTTCGAGACATTTTTTCTAACAAACTGACCTACTGGTGAGTGACATGTGAAATTTTACCATACAAAACAATTTCTAAGTAGGACTTTTTTCCACTCTAGTGTCAGTTTTTAGTACAGATTTTGTTATACGTCTCAATACAGCTCACAAATTTGGAATTGAACGCTTAAAACTGTTAGTAATGGAGAGGTTAAATGAAGTAAATCCGAGACAGAGACAACTCAAAAATATTGCTTCTTTTGAAAATTTGAAATATTTATTTGCCAGTATCATTTTTGCTGCTTTAGTATTGGTCATCACTTAGGCCATGTTTATACGGGCAAATGAGTGCTTTCTTCCTACAATGTAAGTTCTACAGTTATTGAAAGTCTTTCCCATTATTGTTTGCTTGATTCTCATAGAGTTAACGTGATGTGAACACCGTCCTACACTTTATAGTATGTTAAGTTCCTTATCTTGATACTTTGTTTCCACGTCGTTATATACTTATGTACATGTACATTTTACACATATACTGAATGAACCAGATTGATATACGCTTACGTGCCAAATACGCTTAGTATAGTGTCTACATGTCCATAGGTCCACATGTTCTTATCAGAACAAAACTGAACAAGATTTCTTGCTATTTCTGTAATACGACAAATATGCCCATGAGGCCATTTTGAGTGTGTACGATTTAAAAATAAGTAAGCATGGCTTTAAAATTTCTCACCAGACTGTCGCACAGGGATTTGTACTTCATTCGACATGACCACTTGAAGCAGGAGCGAAAGAAATCCCGGAAGCTTGTGAATCTGCAACGAACGCCGGGCACAACTATTTATGGACTTTAATCTCCAACATTGTGACAAAATCATGACCAAGAATTATAACCATGTCATATAAACGCGAAGTTGAGGCTCCTAGCTTTTTGTTTAACTTTTACGATCATTTTACGATCAGAAAATTGGGTAAGTTCAAGAGTCAGGTTTACGGTCAAGCTCAAGATCAGCAAGTTTTTTTGGAACTGAAGCAATGAAGTCAAAGTTCTTCGCAAGTATCGGAGGACGAGCGTGCGTGAAGAAGAAAAATCGTTTACGAAAGGAACACTGTTAGTTCGGAATCCTTACCTCGTTGAGCTTTTTTTCAGCTTCCTCCCTTAGGTTTGGGTCAAACGTACTCGACAAGATGGTGGCTAGATGTGGTATGTCCATCGCGAGGTTTATTTCGTGATAAATTGAGTACGGTATTTCTTCGCTTATTCCATGTGTAATTGGTAATTTTCGTCTTCCCGCGATTCTTCCCGGTAAAATGAGTCATGCGCAATACAACGGAGTCAGCTGACCTGCATGATTGGATGCTCAGATCGGTGAAGTGGGCAAAGATACTTTTGGACAAAAATTAACAGATTTCCAATTTTACTTCATCTCTTCATCTGGTTTCCGTAGAATGAAAAAAGTAGGATGTATCGCCATGAGAAAATTGATTCAGGAAACTTGCTGCAAACATCTATTTTAAATTTTACTTCATCTGGTTTTCGAAGGATGAAGAGTTTAGAGTGTAGGGGGTTAGAAAATCGCAGCGTATATACGGTCATAGGACGCGGAATGAAACTGGTCTTCAATACACCATAAATATAACTTTGTAAGATCTTTAATAATTC